GCCGATTTCACAGATGTTCAGACTATAGCAGATGAGATCTGTTCAATCTGCTTGCATCATTTGTGTTCACAAACATTCCATAAACTCACCTGCTGAAATCGGTTGAGCTCTGATTAAATGTGCTGTAGATAATCATTGGATTGGATGATATCAGTTGTGGTATGATAGTTCAGTTGATAGGAAAATTCATTTTTAACATTCAATTTGGTACGGTACAAGCAGATCCCATTGTATGTGTACCTATACCTAGTGTTCGCAGGTCCGGTTCAGTCCGGTTTTTTGCCCCGAAAACAGGCAACCGTGGACCGCAACCGGTCTAGGACCGACTCAGATATTGAGGGAACCGAACCGAACCACCTAGGAGCGGTCTTTTGCAGTCCATGGACTGTGTTCAAACCGATTCAGACTGGTCTTTTTGCATAAAATTTATCATACCAAATAAACCATTTGTATCTCAATTATTATTACTCTAAAAAATAAACTGGTTATATTAATGAACACTTGACATAGTTATGACTGAAACCGAATTACATCTCATAAAGACTTGGGCAAAATGTAATGTGGCAACTGTAAATTATTTGATGCATACCATATATTGATAGATGGTGAGTATATTTTCATACTTAAAATGTCAATATCCGAAAATTGAATCAAGCAAAATGATGAAAGTTTGAGTGAGTTAGAATTAAAGCCATTCTGGTACAAGTTGCACAAACAAGTATTTGTGCCAAAATGAATTTGGTTATATCTTTCTCAGTTCTTAACCGTTTTTGATGAAACAAAAACCCAATTAAAGGTAATGAACGTGGTTACAAGGGTATGTAACGCACGTGACCGTTTAACCGGTCGCAACCGATTTAAACCGGTCTTTGAACTGTTTTAAAAGAATTTTGAAATGAGGCAACCAGCAACCAGACCAACCCCAAATTGGGGCAACTGCAACCGAAAAAAAGACCGGTCCATGGTCCGGTTCAGTCCGGTCCACCGGTTTTTTTCAGTCCTATGGACCGGACCTGTAACACTACCTGT